TATTCTCTATTTATATAAAACTAATAAAGAAAATGATCAATCGTAAAAATACTAACGTGATACTTAAGGAAAAACAAGTGTGCACATTTCATTTCCCGTTTTTCGCAGCAAAATCATTCCTTTGCTTTATAGACAAGTAAATGCACTAAAATACTTCGTTACGTGGTACCAATTAATAAGCATGTATCAACTATGTTACATAGATCAGCACGTGGCAAGGTTAATGATATGCATGGGCTATTTTTAGATTACCTCACCAAGAAGTTGAATTGCGTTCAGTAGATCTAAATATAACTCGATCATGCGTGATTTGGTAAGCAGGACGGAATAATACTACAGTCACCACACCCTTTGAAGATGGAATAATACTACAGTCACCATTCTCTATTGTATAAAACTAATACAGACAAAAAAAAAACAATTATAAAAGAAACTAACTTTTGCGTCTTGAAAAACAATTGAAACGGAACAATTTCGTTTATAATTTATTACGGTTTAAACCGATAAATCAAGTAAAAATAGAAATCATATTTATATAAACAAACTGGGATTACCGAAGTAACTAAAATAGCTTAGATTTCCGTAATATTACTTCATCTGATTCCGCAGTATGATGGAATCGCCCGAATTGTCACGATTGCAATCGGAACTACATCGGCTATTATCATTAATCCGAAGAGTGACGGAAAAGGCCGAAAAGTTGCGATTGGCACGATTGCAGCTGGTTTCCCGTTCAATCATGCACCAACAGATGTACGCGGGAAGCCACCTAACCGGAACAAGTTTTCCATATGAAATGGCTTGCAGCCACGGCTGCAAGCCAAAAAGATAAATACTGCTACAGTATACAGCCAGGTGAATTGTGCAGGTTAACATCATTCTAAAGAAGCATTTTGGATGTCGGATGTCTCTCCGTATAGACCATCTAAATTTTTTGACTTCCTAACATTAATTTAAGTACTTTTCGTAAAAATTTACAATGAACTTATTCAATATCCTTTGCTCCGTCATATCCAACTACTTCTGTCCCATAATTAAGGATAGAACTAACTAGACCATTCGGTTAAGCGATTCAGATAAACTGGTGAGTAGATTTTTGAGATAATATTTATTAATGTAATACCCCTGTAATTTAATAAACGTAATTTCTGATAAATCTTACGCATTAATACGGTGCGAACGAGGAATATACCGTATTTCAACGATATTTTAATATTGAAAACACCGACATTTTACGTTATGGGGGTAGGACTTTATTTGCTGTTGAAATAAGTTAGTATTTTTAGCTTTCTTTACCTAAAATTGATTAGAACTAAATTACCAATTTTATTATCCAATAATATGATTAATAAACGATCAGTGACACTCTTCAACCGATTTTTATAAAAATGACTTAGTACTAGTAGATCTACTTTAAAAAAAACTTTTTTCTTAAAACATCAGGCCTATTTCATTTACCATCTCTTGAAGGGTTTGCCTAAAATACGAAAGTGAGGTTTTTGACGAAAGTGAGCGAAAGTGACTTTTAAAATTTGAATTATACCGTTTTAATAGAATTTTACAGTAAAATTGCTGTTTGTAGACGTATATTATTAGCAACTTATTATATATATTATAATAAATAACCATAATCATGATTTAATCGCCATTTATTGACCTAATTTCTAAATATAAAAGTTTAGTTATCTTCCTTTCGCTTGCATAGAAAAATACGAAAGTGACTTGTAAACTATTAAATATAGAGTTTAAATTGAAAATGTACTAAATTTGCAGTTTGTAGACGTATATTATAAGAAATTAATATTGATTTCTGATAATATACGCCTGAAAAGTGCGATATAAGTATAACTTTCAATTCAACGCTTTATTTCATATTTTACAAGTCACTTTCGTATTTTTCAATGTGAGCAAGGGGAAGATTAAATCATCATAGTGATTATTTTTGAATATAAATATTATATATTTCTGATACCATAAGTCTACAAACTGGAATTTTAGTACAAATTTAAATTTAAACTCTATATTTAATATTTTACAAATCACTTGAAATCGTATTTTTTCAAAGTGAGCGAAAGGAAGATCTCAAAACTTGTGTTATGCAAATAAATGGCGATTAAATCATCATAGTGATTATTTTTGAAAAGAAATATTATAAGTTGCTAATAATATACGTCTGCAAATAGCAATTTTACTGTAAAATTCAATTAAACCGTTACAATTCAAATTTTAAAAGTCACTATCTATCTATCTATCTTCCATATAGTCAAACCCCTGCTGGGGACCTAGACTTGACGCGCGTCAACTGACAAGAATGTTAGTAAAAGAGTTGAAATAAAAGAATATAAAAGTAAAGGAAATGAGTATATTGTTAAAAACAGGTTAAAAACAGAAAAGGTATTTTTAAGGAGACGTATGTTCAATCCGGCTTACAGCCAGACTGAACTCGGGGCCAGACAAGTTTATGATTTCAGGTGGTAAAGCATTCCAGTGGACAATTGTTCTTGGGAAAAATGAATATTTATAGTAATCAGTTTTAGTTTGGACTTGTTGGAATACATGGAGATGGGATGTTCTAGATGATCTTGTAAGAGGGACGATATACTTTGGGAAAGGAATAGCCACCTGGTCATGCAGGATGTTGTGAAACATGACCAAGCGTTGGTCAATACGCCGAAGGTCAAGGCGCCTCCATTGAAGGGAAGTCAACATGTCAGTGACACTTGACATACGGCCAAAGTTCATGTTTGACCCACCTAGCAGCCCTTCTCTGGACTGACTCTATCTGGTCAATGAGAGTTCCTGTGTAGGGGACCAGACCGTGGAGCTGTACTCAAGCTGGGGTCTGACAAGTGTCTTGTATGCTGTTGACTTTAACCTTTCTGAGTGAACCTTGATGTTTCGGCGTAGAAAACCAAGTGTTTGATTCGCTTTGTTGTGATGTTGTTTATGTGTTTGTTCCATGTTAAATCATTGATATTGTAATGCCAAGGTATTTAGCAGATGGAACTGTTTCTAATGTGGTGTTATGTAGGAGGTATTTTGTTGGAATGACTGTTTTTCGTTTTGTGATTTGGATAACCTGGCATTTTGATGGATTAAATTGCATGTCCCATTTTGTTTCCCATTGTTCAAGTTGGTGTAAGTCATGTTGAAGTAAGCTAGAATGAGAAGCGACAGTCAGAGATAGATAGATGGCTGTGTCATCAGCAAATAGGCGGACCTTAGAGGAAATTGGACATATTCAGGAAGGTCATTTATGTATATAAGAAATAAGAGAGGTCCGAGGACCGAGCCCTGGGGAACACGGAGGAGACTGGTATGGAGCTGGATGTGGAGCCATTTACCACCACAGACTGTGACCTGTTATCAAGAAAACCTTTGATCCATTTAAGAGTCTGACCCCTTATACCGTAGAAATGCAGCTTATACAGGGAGTTTTTCATGGTTGACCATATCAAAGGCCTTAGAGAAGTCAAGAAGGATTAAGTCTACTTGCTTCTCTGATTTACTGACTGTAGAATATCATCTATAAGCATTAATAGTTGGGATTGACATGACCTTTTTTTCTCGGAAACCATGCTGCAATTCATAGAACAAGTTTGATCTAGTAAAGTGCTTTGTTATAACTGGAGGAGACAATGTGTTCCAGGGTTTTACACAAGATACAGGTAAGAGAGATAGGGCGATATTGGCTGGGTTCTGACTTGCTACCTTTTTTAAAGACAGGGGCGACATTTGCCATTTTCCAGATGGTCTGGTAGAGTGCTGGACTGCAGTGATTTCTGGAAAAGTTTGGACACTATAGGGGCTAATTCTTTACTGGTATTTTTTGAGCACTATGGGTCTAATTTGATCAGGTCCTGCAGCCTTATGGGGGTTGAGGTTTTTTAAAAGCTTCTCAACACCTTTTACAAGATATCAATATCACGCATGGGGTTATGGGGGCTAAATGGTGTGTGGGGAACCTCTCTACCTGTATCTGCCTGATCCTGTACCTTCATATCAGCAAGGAATTTAAGAGAAACAGGGGGATTTAGAAGTGAAAACTGATTGAAATTGTTCATTTAGTACTGTTGCCTTGTCTTGATCTGATGTATACAGTTTATTGTGTTTTTTCAGTGAGTCAATGCCAAAAGAATCTTGTTTTGAATGTTTTAATAGTGAATATAGCTTTTTTGGTGTTTGGTCTGGTTTGTGTTTGTTCATGTTCTTGAGAGATGTTGTTGTTAATGTTTAGTATATCTTCTAAGTAATTTTGATAGGCTAACTTAGTTTCTTTTCTGCAGAGATGTTTAATACTGAGATATTTTTCTCTAGATTTATTTGAGTTATGGATCTTGTACTGCTTGTAGGCTTTGTCCCTTTTCCTGTATAACGTTTGAGGTTAAACCTTGATCCAGGGGAGTTTATTTTTGGAGGATGACCATTTTGATGGGATGAAAGTATTGACCCCTTCCTCAATTGAGCTGGATATTGTTTGCCTAACTCTTCCACTGATTTGTTGGAATAACTTTTTGACCTGGTAAGAGAATCATGAAGGTTGGACATATGTTACCTAAGACCGTCCCAGTCTGCCTTATTATATAAGTGGATCTTACGTGGTTTTTGGAGCTTTATGCGGGCGGAGGTATTTGTGTTGACCAGGACAGCATCGTGATCACTGATACCTGGGATTACGTTGGCTCTGTTAACAATGGAGGGGTTATTTGTCAGGAACAGATCTAAGATATGGTTTTCTCGGGTCACTTTCGTTCACTTTCGTCAAAAATCTCACTTTCGTATTTTAGGCATACCGTCTCTTGAAAAATGCTTTCAAAGTAGATAATGCAAAATAATGTGATGGAAATATTGCCGGGTTTCCTGCGACAAAACAATATCCGCTTTTGAGAATAGAAAATTTTGACACGTTTTATAACGTTTTGGGTGTTCTTTCGTAAAATAAGCTCATTTCGCATTTTAACGGACCACTCCGAATTCAAATAAACCTTGAAACCTCACAGAGTTAACCTCCCTTGCGAACAGACTGACTATATAGGACGTGTTTCCGATAAACGGTTAGAGAATTTATTTAATTATTAATTCTTTATTCGATTGTCTTATGATGCTCATCATCATTATTGTTAGTACAGTAGTATTTTTTATTGTTATAATTATTATTATTCTACTTTGTCAGTTTTAATCATAGGTTAAAGAACAGATCAGATGATATAATGGTGTATGTCGGATCTAAATTTAGAAGGAAAACCGAATAACATCATATCTATCTGGTTTCCCTGTAATATATAACGTTAATGCGTATATATACTACTCGTCACAAAATACGCTACTTTGTTCTTAGTCTCAATATTTCGACTGCAAGGCCGACTTATTTTATAATCTGATTTTTCAAAGATGTCTGTCTATTATTTCCAAAGGGACCCGGCACAGTGTTGGGATAGTGTAAAAAAAGTAATTCTAGAAAAAATTTTATACTGTATATATAATATATATTATATATACAATATATATATTTTTTTAAAAATACTTTTTTACACTATCCCAACACTGTGCTGGGTCCCTGTGATTATTTCACATATATAATAAAGCCCTACTGGTCAGGGACCATCAACCGGACACTTTTTGAACATTTTTCCGTACATATTTCATAATTTTTAACCTAGAGAACTAAAAATTTTACATAGTACAGCTAGGTTCTTCTCCTAACTAACAAACTAGTTTGTTTATTTCTGATTGTATTGACACTTACATTTGACGCTCATCAAGGAGGGTATCAAAACTACCTAAATTGTCTACACTACAGTATCACAGTATATAAACGATTTGAACCCCAACCGGATCTTGTGAGAAGATTTTAGTGTCAGCCATATTCTGCCACTTCACTTGTTTACGATATTGGTATTTATATTGATACTGATGGACGTTAGGTTAGTAAATCTATATGTATATTATAAGAGAGAAACTTTATTAAACGTCTAAGTTATGCAAAACATAAACGTTAGCATGAAGGCTATAAAATAATCGAAACTCACGAACAGCTTTCAGGTGATCAACACTGAACACGAACAAAAACCCGTATTATTCCAATGTTGATTTAGTTAAACATTGAATTGTGATATCGAACTACTGAAGTAATAAATAACAAACGATAATTTAGTCATATGCATAACATATTGCTGTATCTTGAACATAAATTTAAGAGTTTTACCAAGGAGGTCATTTCCGTAAACTGAATGTTACTTGCTGGTGATTATGAACCCTACTTGTGAGTTTACGAATTTTATCTGTACCCTGACTTGTGAGTATTTTTAAAGATTTATTGGAGAAAAGTTTACGTTCATTGCGATTTTGTATCAATTATTGCCATAAAATATAAATGATTGTAATAGAATTTTAGTATATAAGGTGGGATCTAAGGTATTTACCGAGAATTGGTTTAACTGATAATATTGTTAATCATTTGTTTAATAAAATATATAATGCTATGTATATTTTTCTTTCGGATCACCATGGAAGAATACAACTGTATATACTGTTCAGTAAAGACTACGAATTTCAATGCCATCATTGACCACATAATTATTCGCCATCCAGACTGCAACTTGAAAATAAGAATAAATAATGATCAGAATAAAATTTCCTACTTAAAAAATTCAGCGTCACAGCCAATAACGTAAACGAAAAAAAAAGAAGTTTATAACACCAATTGCTGAAACACTGACAATTAAAATTTCAAAATTTCCCGAATATTCTCCGTTTAAAAAGATGCCAAAATTGTCGACGCCTATGAAAGATATACAAAGAATAAAAGTCGTACATGTCAGAAATAGAAAGTCAATGAATTCTGAGAATATAAAACAGTGTTTAAAAAAGCAGAATGAAACCAACGGTAGGTGTAAAGCTTGCAACATGTTGAATAAGTAATCTGCAAAAAAATCTTTAAATGATATTTCGAGGTTTATTGATACGTGACGTTATATAACGGTCACGTCAAAACTAACAACAATGCCGTTGAACTAAATATAAAAAAAATTATAGTACATATGTAATATTTTAGCTTTATATCTTTCCAAAGAAAAATGAATGGTAAGTGAAGATGAAGTTTGTTAGTTAATTATTCCTATCAAGAAATAATTGACTTTATGATTCGTTTAAACAGCCACTTTCGTAGACAGTGAAAACATGACGTAGCTCCGCCATTCATATGCAGTTTTAGTTACTTACATGTAAAACATGTACCCTTCTCTTGTGACACAATAACTTCATATTCTGCACAATAAAATTTGGAACATACGACAAAAACACAATAAAAATCATCAAAAGTGACTCGCAAGTAATGGTTCAGTGAAAACACAAGTAGGGTACAAATCATTAAAATTGTTTCAGCAAGACGGGTACAGTTATCAGAAATTTCGCCTCTATTATTTACTATGTTTTATCAATATTCAAAGATATTTTCACAAGTGTCTGTCCGGTAACATGAGGTTAAGATAATAAATTAAAGATTCAGATATGAGTTATAGTGAATTAAACAATTTTTAGGCATACATTTGCTTGTGTAATCGGCGTGTGTTGACATAAACACAACATGAGGCGAAGAGCACAGCGTTTTATGCGCATATATTTTACCAAGAAGGTTATGGATGTATATTTAAGCAAAGATAAATTATTTCTTAATATGAATTATGATTCAAATGTTAACATACCGTAACATATTAAATTCAAGCCGATTTTTAATAGTTTAATGTGTCATTACGCCTGATTGTACGTTTAGATGCTGAGATCTTCTCACAAGATCCGGTTGGGGTTCAAATCGTTCATATACTGTGAGTATACTCGAACCCCATGTTACCGGTGACTCCACGGTACCGGTATATTCACAAATCTCGCGATATTTTTGTCAACACCACCTACCGAGTGTTTATATTGACATGCTCCCAGTAATATTGGCTATTTTAAAGTTTTTAAACATTTTGAAGAGTTTCTGAAGGAAATATTTCACATATCCTACCTTATTTTTAGCTCACCTGTCACAAAGTGACAGGGTGAGCTTTTGTGATCGCTTTTCGTCCGGCGTCCGTCCGTCCGTCCGTCGTCCGTCCGTAAACTTTTGCTTTAAATGACATCTCCTCATAAACCACTGAGCCAATTTCATCCAAACTTCACAGGAATGTTCCTTTGGTGGTCACCTTTAAAAATTGTTCAAAGAATTTAATTCCATGCAGAACTCTGGTTGCCATGGCAACCGAAAGAAAAATCTTTAAATATCTTCTTTTAAACAACCCTAAGAGCTAGAGCTTAGATATTTGGCATGAAACATCTTCTAATGAGTGTCTACCAAGTTTGTTCAAATAAAAGCCCTGGGGTCAAAATTGGCCCCGCCCCCGGGGGGTCATTGATTTTCCCTATATGCATATAGTAAAAACTTAAAAGATCTTCTTTTAAAGAACTGTAAGAGCTAGAGCTAAGATTTTTGGCATGGAACATCTTCTAGTGAGTGTCTACCAAGTTTGTTCAAATAAAAGCCCTGGGGTCAAAATTGGCCCCGCCCCGGGGGGGTCATTGATTTTCCCTATATGCATATAGTAAACACTTAAAAAATCTTCCTTTAAAGAACTGTAAGAGCTAGAGCTTAGATATTTGGCATGAAACATCTTCTAGTGAATGTCTACCAAGTTTGTTCAAATAAAAGCCCTGGGGTCAAAATTGGCCCCGCCCCAGGGGTCATTGATTTTCCCTATATGCATAAAGTAAAAACTTAAAAAAATCTTCTTTTAAAGAACCCAAAGAGCTAGAGCTTAGATATTTGGCATGAAACATCTTCTAGTGAATGTCTACCAAGTTTGTTCAAATAAAAGCCCTGGGGTCAAAATTGGCCCCGCCCTGGGGGGTAATTGATTTTCCCTATATGCATATAGTTTAAACTTAAAAAATCTTCTTTTAAAGAACCGTAAGAGCTAGAGCTTAGATATTTGGCATAAAACATCTTCTAGTAAATGTCTACCAAGTTTGTTCAAATAAAAGCCCTGGGGTCAAAATTGGCCCCGCCCCGGGGGGTCATTGATTTTCCCTATATGCATATAGTAAAAACTTAAAAAATCTTCTTTTAAAGAACTGTAAGAGCTAAAGCTTATATATTTGGCATGAAACATCTTCTAGTGAATGTCTACCAAGTTTGTTCAAATAAAACCCCTGGGGTCCAAATTGGCCCCTCCCCAGGGGTCATTGATTTTCCTTATATGCATATAGTAAAAACTTATAAAATCTTCTTTTAAAGAACCCAAAGAGCTAGAGCTAAGATATTTAGCATGAGACATGTTCTAATGGGTGTCTACCAAGTATGTTCAAATAAAAGCCCTGGGGTCAAAACTGGCCCCGCCCCGGGGGTCATTGATTTTTCCTTATATACATAGCAAAAACTTAAAAAATCTTCTTTGAAAAAACCCAAATAACTAGAGTTTAGATATTAAGCATGAAACATCTTTAAGTAAATATCTACAAAGTTTGTTCAAATAAAAGTCCAGGGGTCAAAACTGGCCCTGCCCGGGGGGTGTCATTGTTTTTTACTCTATGTGTATAGTAAAAACTTAAAAAATCTTCTTTTAAAAAACCCAATGAGCTAGAACTTAGATGTTTTGCATGAAACATCTTCTTATGGGTGTCTACCAAGTCTGTTCAAATAAACAAATAAAAGCCCTTGGGTAAAAATTGGGCCGGGGGGGGGGGGGGCTATATACAGGTGAGCGACCTCAGGGCCATCATGGCCCTCTTGTTTATTTTACTATCCTATTTTTCCATTGCATAAATTAGTCTCTCTACAAAACACATTTTTTTTCCAAGAAAATAAAAAATCACAGGTGCTGACGTCATTCAATTTCCATTACATGTCACTTGACCTTTTGACATCATTTTTGGCGGGAAAAAATTAATCTATGGAAAGCCATTAGTGCATATAAAATAGTTTATGAAAATTAAAAAGTCAGTTTCAGGAGCCTGTGTAAAGTGCCATATCGATATTTTATCTTCATCATATAGAAATAAAATTGATTCAATGATA